TCCTGCACGCCCCCTTCTGGGGATCGAGCTCACAACCCCAGGCATGTGCCCCTTGCCTGGAATCGAACCCAGGACCCTTCAGTCCCCAGGCCAATGCTCTATCCACTGAGCCAAACCAGCTAGGGCCGTTTTGTTTTGTCTCGCCTGGAAGGGCAGGAAACTGTCTTGTTCCCCCACAGGATCCCCCACCTCCTCATAGGATGCTGCCTGCTGGGCTTACAGAGAACTCCATACACATTTGTTGTATAAATGGGTGAATTGTGCTGGCCACAGCGCCACCCTTGCTAGGTCACATGTCAGGCATCGGAAACTACACCACAGAGCCCTGTTGTTTAAAGTCGGTGTGAGATGCGCAGGCCCAGCCTTGGAGAAGCGTTGCAGGATCTGCCGGCTTCGGCTCTGGTGACAGCGACTAGCTGTGGTCACTAGTTACTGTGCACGTCCTCATCCAGGCAAGTGCCCTCTGCAACGCGCCCTCAGCCTGTGATGGGTTCGGAATGAGAGAGCAAGTTATGGAGCAACTGAGGGTAGAGCACTACTTATGCTGTGGCCCAGACTTCATCTCCCCAGCAGCCCCGCTAACGCTGATGCTCCTCTTTCCTCCTCCCTTGAGGAGGCTTCAGAAATTGAGCCTTTTCGGTCTCCTGCTTTGGCTCCTGCCACCAATCTGCTTGGCTGCTCTTGCCACCTTTCCCTCTTCTATGATCCTAAAGGCTAGCCCAGGCATTTCTGTTTTATTTTACTGTAAGAGTTTTTGCATGTAATTAATGTTGGAAAACAAAGATCAGCCCCGCCGGCATGGCTCAGTGGTTGAGCATCGACCTATGAACCAGAAAGTCACGGTTCAATTCCTGATCAGGGCACATGCCCAGGTTTCGATTCAATCCCCAGTGTGGGGTGTGCAGGAGGCAGCTGATCCATGATTCTCTCTCACCATTGATGTTTCTATCTCTCCCTCTCCCTTCCTCTCTGAAATCAATAAAAAGAATATATATATATTTTTTTCTTTTTTAGAAAAAGAAAACAGAAAATATCAAACAGAAATACTTAAGGAAGTTAAAAATGTTGCAAAATGTTACAAAACTCTGCTGGGACCTGTTCTGTAATTCTTAATTCCAGGAGAGTAAATGGAAACCCCATGAGGTTTTCTTCTCTAATTTACTCTTTGGCGGGCAGGCACCGACACCTCTTTGAAACACCATCCTCTGAGCCCCACTCTGTGGGCTGTTTCCCGAACCGCGGTCCTTGTGGCTCTTGAGAGAACAAGTCAGGACAGAGAGGCGTGTTCCCCTGAGCGGCCTGCGT